TGGGAGCTAGATGATCCATAATATATACATCATCATCTAAATTACAATATGGTAAGATGAGAAGATGAGAAGATGCTTTCATATCATTGTCCCAGTTTGAGATGTTTGCGTCACAAGTGCAAGAATCAGAGTAGGAAGAAAATGACTAGATTCGCCATTTTTGTGTCGGTTTTATGCATCTTTTGTTTCCGAGATCAAAGATAAATCAACCTTTTTTTTTTGTTGACAATGCATATCTCACTTCTACATATAGTTTAGATTTCAAGATCAGTTTCATTTTCAATCACTTTATACAATTTTTTTCTTATCAATCGTTTGGTTCTTCAATTCATGGTAGGTAACAAAAATAAGCAAGGCAATCAAAAATGCTAAACTAAAAAAATATAGAAAAGAAGCGCATACTTTCTTTTCGCCAAGTGCATGCCGTAGCAAGTTCCAAGAAAAAAAAAGCACATCATTGGAAATAAGAAGGTTCGGTTCTAAGTTTATATCTTTATAAACTATAGAGAAAACTTAAATATTACAATATAATGGGTCATTTTGGAACTATCACGGTTCAACAAGCTTGGCTAATAGGGCCAGATCCAGAATCTTGACTTCAAGATTATCCTCTATCTTAACGATACCATCCGACCCGTCAATTCCAAACAGCTTACCTACACAACCACGATATTGGCCACCAACGATTTTCACACGATCGCTCTTCTTTGGAGCCACTATCTCCAGCTCGCTTGGATGAACCATTACAGTGTCACCTTCACCGCTGGACCCGAGAGACACTTTACAAGTCCCATCCTGCCAAAAGTAGCACATAGGAAGAATGATGGGGCTAGAAACGTTAAACTTAAACAGCTTTTACATAATTTTCTCTATTCTTTAACTTTGATCATTGATTTTTCTCATGGTTTACTTCATCACTAGTACTTCCTTTTTATTTCTTATAAAAACTGGAGTTTGTGAAAGGCAAAAGACATACCGAAACATCTCGGATGACACCCACATCCTCATGCCCTCCAGCCTTGTGTACTTGAACCAAAATATCAGGCATGAACCATGCTTCAGCATCACCTGTGCCATTTACAATAAGCTAAATGAAATGGAAACTTACTTGTGCATGACGCAGTGAATTAAATAAGGGTAAATAA